CATAACTAGCCTGCACCACCCTCACGCCATCAAATAGGTCTTTCCCATCCTCGCCGTTGTCGTCGTCGTGCGTAGAATTGCCTACCCACCAACCATCAGGCGAAAGCACCTAGGATTGCCTATCTACCACAATAGTAGGCGGTAGGAGTGACACAGGCCAACGTCAAACACCCTCCTCATAAACAAAATTGTTCTCGGGCATCACCGAGTGGTCCTTCACTCCTTCGGCTGTTACGGTTGAATTCTCGGGCGTAAACACTTATATTATTTATAGTCCTATCCAACCGTCTATATTGATTGTTGGTAGTTGATACATTATTTTATCCGAAACAAATTTTTATATATTTTAATGCAGTCAAATATATGACTTACAATTTAAAAAATATTTTTGTATGTTTCAAAATGTTCCATGTTTTTAATGTCGATAGTCTAATATTTATATTTTTCAAGAACTATTCATGTTTATATATAATTTACATTTATTTTACTTTGTTTTATAATGTAGTTACAAATATTTTATAATTATTAATAATTTTTAGTTAATAACCAACCTAATTGTTTTTTAACATATTATTTAACATGTATAATAACAATGGATAGTTTAATTTGAATATTATTATTTTTGTTATTAAAAATTCCCCTCCACCCACAGATTCATATCTATAACATAGCTATGCATCTAATATTATATTATATTATAATATATCAATTATTTACCTACACATTTTTATTTCTTAAATTTATGTATTTTACTCCATTAATACATATATTTAAAAAAAATTGTATACCTATTATGATAATATTGTTTTTATAGGCAAATCTGATAATGTAAATTATCAATAAACGAAATCATTAAAACATGAAGTAGGTACTTGGTTATTTTTTTGTTAGTGGATTGTCGATTATATGTGTGTGCGTATGTATATCTATAATTTGTACATAGATACTTGTGAGTAAATAGAATATCTACATACAAATGATATTTTTACACTCATTAAATTTAAATTGGTGGTTTTAAAATAGTGTTTATTATTATTTTTTTTTTTATCCTGTATAAAAAATATTTACCAGAAGGAGTGCTTCGATTTCAACATACAGTATCTTATATTTTAGCAAATTGGATCAAGATGGTAGGTACCTACGCTTTAAAGAGATATTGTTCGACTTTCTCAATAGTTAGTTTATTAATGCCACCGGAAAAACCAACGATAAATTACGAAAAACCGCTATAAAAGGGATTTTAATTTCGAACGCTTTGTTTATCAACTTAAAGCCGAATTAAAAATTGTGACGAATTTAAAATAAACATACAATTTACAGGCTATAATAAATAATAAAAATATATAAAATATCCATACAAACCGTCTCCACTCAGAATCGTTTTTCGTATTATTATATCATTGAGTTAAAATTTAATACAATCCATCACTTGTAACCTACTGTACAGCAGAGCGATATCCACTTACCTCTATCTTATATTATTATATACACATGACGTCTATAAGAATAAAATATTCACATTACCAAATGTTTTTTTTATAATTTCGTTGGCTGAAAATGAAATACAACTTTAAAACATATGTAACCATGGAGATACCGCCGACCGTTTGCTATCGACGGAAAAATACACAAAATATATAATTATTAATTTAGTTTAAATTTGTTTTAAATTCCAAATCGATTCTTCTAACTTTACGTAAATATATTAAACACAGTTGTTGTATGTTTTGCAATAACACGTCTACACCACCTTACGGAATGGTCTACAAGCATAATTAAACGCAAAATGGATTATGGTATAATGATGATCAGAAAAATCGTGAAAGCTAGCAATCTCAAAGGTAAGTGAGTATTGTACTATACTACTATTGTAATTGTCAACGTAACTAATTTTACATCTATTCTGTAGTATAATAGTGCCGATTTGAACATTTTGCGCCCAGAGGCAACATAATTTGCACCCCCATCACCTTAAAAAAAAGTTATTTCTTTAAATGTACCTAAGGTATAACAAATTTTTTGTGTCATAAATGCAGTTTAGCTGCCAAGCGATTTTTAAAAAATTTTTCGGGAGATCTATGTATAGTAACTATTTCAATTAGTTAAGAATAATGGTGCAATCGAAATTTTCGGTCGGACCTTTTAGTTTAAAATGTATTGCATTTATATTATATTATATTATATTTTTAAAATCCATTAGTTTCCGTATTCCCATGGTATTTTTTCAAATTAAATTACTTAAAATTAAATTAAATAACCCAACAATAAAATTAAACAGTTAAATTAAAATAAAATAAAAAGTATAACTATCTAATAAATACAGTCTAGATACATTTATAAATTTATAACCTTCTCCTAAATTTGAGATTTGAAAGTAAAGTAATAATTTCTTAAAAATCTGCTTTGCGTACCTACTTGTTATTTCTGATTAAATTGTCATTATTGCTAACGCAAAATATCTTTCTATTGGTATTAGATTTTTGAAAATTCAAAATTGGCCCTCTAGGCTCATTGAGTTGTCCATCTCTGGTATAGGTAATCATTACGATTTAGGACAAAGAACATTAGAAGTCAGATGAGCTAAAATTGACAAATATTTAAATATAAATCCATAAATAATTTCACCTTTTAAGTTACAATACCTACAGTAGGAGGTATAAAACATACCAACCCAATAACAAAAAATTATTAATACTATCAAAAATTGATAACTTCAACAAATAAAATCACTACCTACCTGATACATAAGGCAAAACAATAATAATGATTTTTTAAACCTCAAATTAATAAATAAAATATGTACTATTAATTAATGTTTATTTTTTAAATACTTAATTACAATTTCGATATACATATCATATTATGATGCGAAGATTACATATAAGAGTGTTGTCAATGGGTGACATATTTACTCAAATCACTGAGGTACAAAAAACTGAAACATAATTTATATGCTTATTAGTTATTATACCCTAAACTATTGTACAACGCAAATGATAAAACATTATAACATTATACCTATATATTCACCTAATAACATATAGTATAATTTAACGCAAATGCACAAAAAATCAGTCAAAGTGAATGACAGATATTTTAGTGAAGTTAAAATATTTAGATATTAATTGTTATAAGCGTGAATCTGCGTAAAAAATAAAATATAATATAATATAATAATAAAAATACAAGAAGGTACGTAACTGATTGTTGCTGGCTGAAAATAAATAAACATTCAAATGAGATAACCACGGATACTAGCAGGTCGGTGTATCGACGCTGAATAATAAACACATTTTATTATTAATTTAGCTAAAAAAAAGTATAGCACTATATTTAACAATTTTTCTTTTTGGAATTTCGCGTCGATTTATATAGTAAAACTTCAAAATAATCTACAACCTTAAAGCGATCACGTTATGATGGAGGTGATGACTATATATCAGAAAACTGTCGAATATCCAGGAAGTCTTATAGGTAAGAGTCCGTGAGACTAATAACGACATTATTAAATCCGGCTATATTGATAATTGTACAAATTATAGTCCTATATGGCTATATCTCTCTATCTCTTTTCATAATCCTAAATATTTGAAAAACGATTAAAACAACGTTTGATTGATTTTTTGAGTATAGGTACATACATTTTTACTACAAACCAATTTGGATTTTGGAAAAATAAATCAACAACATTTTCACTGTTATTAGCTTCGAATTTTATTCATTCTAGTAGATATTGACAATGACAATAATAAGGTAGGTAATTGGTTTGTATTCAGATTAAAAAAAATACTTGACATAAAAAATATTAAAATATTAATGTTGTATTATTGATATTTCTCAAGATGTGTTTATTTCAAATTATTTTTCAAATAGATTGCAAGTAGTTAAAATTGAAGTAATGCTAACTTGTGAAAATCGAGGAAAAATCGTCTTGTTATTTCTTATTTACATAAAACATAGTCTTATTAATCCTAATATTTCAGGAGATATTATTTGTTTTGTTGACGATACATTATTTATAGTTTAAATTGAACATAAAAAAAATTGATGAATATTGTATTACTTAGTGAATCAATGTATACATATTAATAATATAAAAACTTGGTTACATAAACATTTTCTAGAGCTGAATATTAAAAAATCTAATTATATGTTTTTTAGTATAAATTATTGATAAATTCGATTAAAAAATATCACCGTACATAATTTCAGATGCTTGAATAATTTATAAATTTATAAGTAAGTGTTTTTAATGTGAAAAAGTAACTAAATTAAAATATTTAGGTATTATTTTTGACCAAAACCTTAAATGGGTATAATATAGGTATTATGTTTGTAATTGAATTAGAAAACTATTTTATAAATCCAAAGTGTAATCCGAGTACAAATGTAAAATAATAATTGACAGTTAATCATTTATATAATACTAGGCGTAAAATTAAATCAATCATCAGATCTGTCTTACGTAACCCTACATTTAGTCAACAGGGTCCAATTAATATTTTGGTGCAAAATTATGTAAATATTTTAAACTAGATTTAAGAAAATTTAAGTCGTTTGAACATTTTTTATTTTATATAAATTCTTTTTTACTTTATGATTATTCTGTGTACCTCGTTTAGTTAGAATATTCAACAATAAGTTTAAAATTTTTCGTTTTATTAGGATGTTATATATTTATAAAATTTAATTGAACTTTAATTAACTTTCGTTCTTAAAAAATTAGAAGTATAAAGAAAAAAAAATGGTTTTTGTATATGCAGCGTATTTAAAAATAAATAAATAACATTATCTCCCCCGTCGGGACCCACCTTGATGTGGTGGGGGAGTTTTTTCCCCCCGACGGGACCCACCTTGCCGTGGTGGGGGGGCTCACGGGCCAATCACTGGTCCGTGCCAAGAGGTTCCACTCTAGAGCCAGCCATGACCTTGATTGGTTGGGGCTGGCAGGCCCGATCCACCTGCATACACTTGCAAACGAATCCCTGCCAGCAGGTAAAATGGACGGAAGGAAAACCGAAAACCACAATTTGAATAGCAAAAGTAAAGATATTGTTACTACTCCAGAGGGACAGGACCATCAGGAGTCGTTGGTAGTAGGTGGATCTGGTGTAAAAATCAGGTCCAACGGAGCGGGCTTGCTACTTTCGTTACCAGTCAACCGTGACAAATCAGATGAGGGGGTGTCCAGCATGGCCCCGGATTCCGACAAAAATGCTATTGCTGAGACAGACGTGCTTCCGGGTACGCACAAGAGGGATATGTTGTATATTATACACCATAGAGTAAGAGAAATATCACGCCTGAAAATCGAAGACACTATATTAATAAAAATCAATTTGGACTTATTTAATGCCCATGATACCGGTGAAAAAGTAGCTGTAGCTACCAACCTGACCTTACCCGACTACAAACGAAAACGATCATCTTATGAAGATGATGAGCATAATAGAAAACTGTCTCGAACCTCAAGAGCCGCACTCGATATCCATCATGTCATCGGTAAGTACCTAATACACGCGTCAACGACAGGAGACATAAGAACAAAATATACAAATATCTATACAGTCAATATCAGTGCTAAACTATTTTAGAGCCTAACCAAAGTGATGATTGTATTGATTTTACAATGGTGTATGCAGTTTTGAGAATAGATAAAAAACATTTAATATAGATAATTATGTATATACCTATATTTATCAAGTTTCTAGATACAGACCAGATATACAGTTATAGTACGGTAGATAAAACTAATTTTTATTATATTTAAATAACTATACTTATTTACCTATACTAATTTGATAGAATAATTGTTCTGATAGAACAATTTTATTAAAAAAAATGAATATTATTTATGAAAAATGAATATCATTTAAATAACATGTACCTATAGATAAGTAAATATATCATCTAATATAACCAATAGATAAATGTATTCAAAATAATTCTTCGATGTTCAACTTATATTCTGTACATATAGGTATCATTTCTGGTGCAAAAGTGAATCTGGTTGGTGCATTTGGTTGATCAAAATTTAAAATTCCCACTAAATTCTAAAGCGTCGGGAAAAAATTTTTATAAAAAAACGAGAATGTTAACCCAAAATTGATTTTGGTTATGATGCAACTATAAAAAAAATAAGCATAGAATTACATTAGATACACTTTACATTTATAATAACATTTTGTATACATCATATAATTATCAAAATACGAGTATGTAGGGTCGTTTCGAGTTATTTATAGATATAATATATTGAATTTTCAATTTGTTTAATTATTTTAGATTCTGAGTGAAACGATGAATGTATTGATTTTACAATGATGTGTGTTTTTTTTTTTATTTTTTTTTTTATTTTTATTTTTATTTTTATTTTTATTTTTTTATTTTTTTTTTTTGTGTCTGTGTACACGATAAGTAGACGAAATAATGCTTCGATTTTCAACTTCAGTATCTTGTTCGATTGGAAAGTGAATATCGTTGGTGCATTGGGGAGGTCAAAATTTAAATTTCCCAGTAGTTTTCAAAAGCGCCGGGAAAAACAAAATAAAAATTAAGGAAAAACGGGAATTTTTACGCAAAATCGGTTTTCCAAAAAATCAATTTTGGTTTTTGGTGTAACTTTAAAACAAATAACCGTAGATACATGAAATTTTCAGTGGTTGTTTATATTTGCATTTTCTATACACTATAACATTTTCAAAATATTTTGATTTATTTTGAACTGTTTAGGGACATTTTCAGTTTCCAATTTTATTAGTTTTTTTTTTTATGAATATCAATAAAAATTTATTTGTTGAGTAAAAATACTTGAAAATTTAATACAAGGCTCCTACTATATTGTTTCAAAGACAGATGAAAAATATTAAAAATCGTTAGTCACAGTTTTTTTTTTCAAGCATTTAAAGTTCAAAAAATGACAAAATATGGAAAAATCACGAAAATTTGCAAATTATTTTGAGTTAGAAATTCATAAAAATTTTTCTTTTTAAATCTAAGATATAAAAATGTAATACAAGATTCCTTATAAGATTTCCTACATTTATCAAAAAAAAAAATTCTATAAGAAAGTCAAATTAAATTTTTATGAGCGTTTGAAATTCAAATTTTTACAACATTGGATATTCACTCGATTTCTCATGTGGCGATTTCCTTATTTTGTTGTAATTCAAAAACGAATTACTGTATATACATGAAAATTTCACTGAATGTTTATATTAGTATTTCCTATACACCATACAATTTTGAAAATATTTTGACTCTTTTTGAGCCGTTTACGGACATTTTCAGTTTTCAATTTTTTTAGTTTTTTTTTTCTATAAATATTAAGTTTTATCTGTTGGGCCAAAAAGTGTGAAAAATTGATACAAGGCTCCTGATATATTGTTACAATAGCAATTGAAAAATATTAAAAATATATAGGCACAATTTTTTTTTATAAGCATTTAAAGATCGCATTTTGACAAAATTTATCAAAATCTCGAAAATTATCAACCATCGTAATTAATAAATTATAAAATGTTCAGTTTTTATAGCTAAAGATTGAAAATTTAAAAAAAAGATTCTCATAAATAGTTCATACTGTAGCCAAAAAATCTAAAAAATATATGAGCACAGTTATTTTTTACAGACATTTTAAGTTCAAATTTGGGACGAAATTACATATTAAAAAACCTATAGCATACCTATTTTAGTCATTTTGTTGTGAGTGTATAATACTATTCGTGGGTACTTGAAACTTCTAAAGTACACTATATTATATATCAATGATAGTATCAGGATTTGTTATTGATGTATAACGTGTTATAAGTACCTAGTGGATATTGTGATATTATGATTAATTTGGAATTTATTATAGGTCAATTTTTTTTTTAATACCTTAGTTATGTATATAATATGTCTTAAACCTAGACTGACATACCGTCTTCGCTCAGAATCGTTTTTCTTATACAATGATATTGTATCATTGAATTCAAATTTAATACCATCCATTATACAGTGACCCACTTGTAACCTACTGTACAGCAGAGCGACATCCACTTACCCACCTTTTTTTCTATAAATATAAATAAAAATTTTTTCGTTTGCTCGAAAATATAACAAAAGGTTCATAATATATTATAATAGCAGTAAAGAAGATTCATAGGTAAGATTTTTTTTTTCTATACAATCTTAAAGTTTTGACATTGACAACATTTACCAAAATCTTGAAAATTAACAATTTATTTTGTAGTTAAAAATGTATAAAATGTTCAATGTTTATAGCTAAAGATTGTAAATTCAAAACAAGTAGGTATTCTCATAAATAGTTCATACTGCTGCCAACAAATTTAAAAAATGTATACACAGTTTTTTTGTTATATACATTTTAAGTTCAAAGTTGGACGAAATTAGATATTTAAACGAAAAAGAAGGATTTTATAGTTTTAATACTAGAACGCAGATTTATATGAATTTTCATCTTTGTTCTTGTTGATTGTATGATATGCTAAGTGAGCACACAATTTGTTTTATGGCGGTTTAAAAAATAAGTTTTTTCTATTAAAGGGCTTATTTTACAATTTTAATTGCATATTTCATCTTTTAGTGCATATTTCGATGCTTAATTAGACATTTTTGAAATATATACTATTGTAATATAAGAAAAAATATTAAACTTTTATTGTTTGGATCAATAAATTAATAGATACCTATACTTGTAAGTTGTAGATATATTCGGTTTTCACAAAGATGATCTTAGATCAATAATCAGTGAAATAAAAATCGTAGGTATACCAAGATAAGAAAATTTCGAATACGACCATTAACCATTGACATTATTATTAATAATATATTTTATCATATATTATAATTTTAATGAGTACCTATTTAAAGACGTGTGAAACTATTTTTTGTATAATGTTCACAATCCAAATTACTTCAACTTTTTATAGGATTCTACGTAAATACTAAATACTAACACAATTTCACCCAAATATGGTAATTTAATTTATAGTATTCTGATTAACATACATTATTTTTCCAACTTTTGTAGTATTGTCATAATTAGAATATTCACTTATGTGGTAATATAATATAAAAACATTTTAAATGTTCTTATTTTTATTAAATTATGACATGAAGTTAAAAAGTCACATAGAAAAAAGTAGAAATTAATGTCCTGAAGACGGATAGGTAGGTAATATAATTTTACGATGGCTCACCGCTTTGTTGTAAGTACCTATTGTATCTATAAATATACATGCCGTTTTTTCTTCGGTATTTAATTATTGTACAACCACAGACAGATGAATCATTGGAAGAAAATCAACAAAATATGGTCGTAAATTACAATAAATTATAATAATTGTGACCCTGACGTGTTATAATAATTAACAATTATATGTGTAATAATAATTAATGATATGAACAGAGAATACTACATTATTAAATGCAACATTTCATATCCATATATATATATATATATCAATGAATGTATCAAGATTTTCAAGGAATACATTTGAGTTCAAGAGCGTTCAAGAAGTTACATGTGCAATATACAAGCGATAAGTATCGGACTCTTATCGGACTCAGACTTCGATACGAGCCGGTACCTAACTATTCCATAACGATAAGTATCGAATTTTTCTTCTTGAAAATCTTCTATGTGTGTGTGTCCATATTACCATGTCAACCATATATATATTATTTTGAGATTTCCGTCCATGTGTGTCTCCATATTACCATGACAACCAATTATATATTATTTTGAAATTTCCGATGGAATGTTTTGTATATAAATGGTTGTTATGGTGATATGTAAAACATATTATTCATATAGAGTTGGCAATTTTAATGGGCAATGAAGTGTATGGGATCAGATATTTTTATATATATAGAATATAGATAGATTAGACCTCTGGGCAGAAGATAGGCTAATTTACAAAGGAAGAAGACCAACCCCACTGTGATGTGCTCAAACAGGGATTTTGAGATTTCCAATGGAAATTATTGTCGTGGGTTTCAAACCTATAATAATAATAATTATTGGTTGCCATTGGTTTAAAATTGTTGTTATAGTATAAAAAAAGTATTATTATATAATATTATTCATATAGAGTTGGCATTTTTGGGCAATGAAGTGCACGGGATCAGCTAGTTATATAATTCATGCTAATACCAATTACCTATGTAGACATAGGTTGTTTATTGTGTATACCTATTACCTATACACAATATAGGTACTATAAATTTATACAGCCATATTGCGGGTTGAGAATGAAAAGGTTCTATGTCATAATATCCAATTGTTCAGCAGAGTGATTTTTAACTTTAAATACCCATTATCCAATATCTTTTTTCCAGGTTCTCTTATGAATATAACCATAATTTTAATGAATAAACTAATACAATTATTACCAGATACATTGTGAGTATTAAGTATTAGACATCCAAACATTTTATAAAAACTATAAAACTGGAAAAAGAGTGTATAAGAACAAAAAAGTTCTTAGCATCTTTTCATTATTCCAACTAAATGTATGATATACAAAGGTAAAACTTTTTTTTTTTAAATTCCATACAATATTTTTAAATCTTATCTTAACCGACATCA